ACATGCTTCTTTTACTCAGGTGGGTGCAGGATAGTTAACAGTCAATAATCAACTTTATAACAACTCAATGACCATCTGTGGTCTCTGCAGAGTGGTGCCTGGGCTCCGAGGGGTCCAGAAAAAGAAAAGTTACTTTGACATTCCAATGATATGCTATTGTAGATGCAAAAAGACTATAGGCTCAGTTAGGTAAAGACTGACCTTTGTCAGGGAAGATACCGGCCTCGGATGTGACCCACCATCACTGCTTTTAAAGTTTTAGTTTGAGACCATCCTTTGTGGTTACTTTAGGTCTCTGAGTTTGCAAGACCACCGTGCAGGCCTTCCCTGAGCTTGTCAGGCTAGCATGTGGCCCCTTTTTCATCCACATGCCTCAGTATTTCACATAATAATACACACAAATCTCTCCATTGAAGCATCCATCTTACATTAAAACTGCTGTTTGAAATTTTAACCCTGCTATTTGGCTTGTGTAAATGCTTGCTTGCTTAAAAAATAAGGAAAATAAGCCTACTCCCACTTCAGAGAGGCCATTAAACCTTCCCTGGACGAAATTATCAGTGCTGACACCAGGCCAGGCCTTTGGTGGAGGTCTCAAGGCCCTCAAATACAGGGGCTCTTTAAGGACTTGCAAAAGGGGCTGGAAACACCCCACATTTGAAAGCAAAGAAGGTAAAAACATATAAAGAGGGAATATTTCTCCAAGTTGGGGCCCTGAAGTTGAGAGGCATTTTCCTCTGGACCCGTGTGCGCGTAACAAATTTAACTCCAAACTCTCCCAGCATTGCTTGATTTATTCTGGTTCTCTGTAATGCCATCAGTGTTTGCCTATAGTTCTTCCCTGGGTCTTGACTCTATAGGGCTGGGGAGGTGGTGATGGGTGGATGGGCAGAGAATATGTGGGATTCATACATTCTGCTTTTTTACTCTAGGTTCTCCATTAATTCATAAAACATGCATATGCAGTGTCTATCCCCCAGTAACTCACCAGATGTGCCACTCATGTCTGAGTCACAGTGGAGGACCCACCTGCGTCTCAAAACTACTAGATAGGAATGAAATAATAGTTTCTCTCTACCTTCTCCTGGCCTTTGAAGGTGTTTACTTATAATCCCAACGCACTTCTACTGAATCTAATGTAACCAGGGCCTTCCCTTCCTTTAGATGTCCCCTGCAGCTAATTTCTTTTACACAAACTATTCCATAGGTGAGGAGAAGAGAGCATTTGTAGCTCTGCACTCATTTCCTGCACGGAGCTTGAGAATCAAGACAGCTTTATCCAATCTTGACTCCTCTCCACAGGCCCAAAACCGCCGATGCTTGGGATTATTCTGTCTGAAGCCAAGAATGACTTGGGCCAGGTGTCTGTGCTGGCCTCTGAGTGTGTGGTCAGGGAGCGGGGGTGGGAGGCTGAGTACTGAGCCCTTCAGCATCTGCAGCTGAAAGAGACTTTAGTTGTCTGCTGTCCAGGGGCTGCTAGAAGGATAACCACCCGCTGCCTGATCACCATTCCCGCACCTCTGCCTCATTCAATGATCACAAGACAAGAAAGCTTGGGGTAAGTGGTAGGATTCTTCTTCTCTTAGAGAGAGATGGAAAGGGAGGGTTAGAGAGTTCAGATTACTTGTCAGAGAGGCCAGAGCTAGGCAGTGGAGGAGGAAAACTTCAAACCAGGGCTTTGAGCCTATCTCTAAATATTACAGCCTTTTGTCTCCGCTAATCTCTCTTGTGGCTATAACGGAAGGCAATGTATTAGTCTTTTAATAAAGAGGCATTTTTTTTTTGGGGGGGGGGGGTGAGGAGGCAGTCAACCAAATTTACTAAGTCAATTCTTATCTACTTTCTAAGCATTTCTCCACCAAAAAAGTTGCTTTATAAACAGCTAGCAGAGGCCTTTGCTCTGCTTCTTATAATCTGGTTTTTGCTGTAGACTTACTTTTACAATTTTAATATATATATATATATATTTCAGAGAGGAAGGGAGAGGGTGAGAGAGACAGAAACATTAATGATGAGAATCATTGATTGGCTGCCTCTTTCATGCCCCACACTGTGAACCGAGCCTGTAGTCTGGCTGACACTATTCACTCAGCCAAACCAGCTAGGGCTAAAGACTTTAAAAAAAAAAATGTACCTTTAGTGTTGAAAGTATTACAGACGTCCTCCATTTCCCCCAATTGATTCTCCCCTACCCCCCACCTGTTCCCATCCCTCCCTGACAGGCCAGCAGAGGGCATTTGGCTCAGGTGGACTAGAAAGTCAGTCCCCAATGAGAAAGTGGCCCCTAGCCTCATTTCGTGGAACAGCCTGCAGTCACCCTATCCGGCACAACAGGAGGCAGCTGCACAGAGGGCGAGCCAGCAGGTCAATGATATCAACCTATCAATGCCCGCTTACAGCCCACAGCCTCAACCACCAGCACTAATCCGTTTGAAGGACAATGAACTCCATCTGGTCAGACTAGAACATCCCTCAGCCTCTGGACCTTGCAGTTTTGGCACATAAAATTTAACTCAACTTCCTGGGTTGGCTCCATCCCACCATTCCCTCTAATAAACTCCCCTCCTGCTTGCTGGCTGTGTCTGCCCAATGCCTTGAGAGACTCCAATCTTACATTCCCCAGGCCTTATACACACAAGTTCTTTGATTAATCTCTTCCTATCCCCTCTTCCCTCTAAGTCAGGTCATTCTTCCCAATAGGTGAAAACAATAAGAGAGTTAAAATCGGCTCTGCCCTGGTTTCCTGTCAAGAAGGCAACATTTACCATCTAGAAAATAAGTCCGTGCTTCTGAAAGCGTGCTCCAGGAGTTTGGGAGCACAAAGGAACTTGCGGTGGTGCTTGAGTTCTTAGGAAATTTGTCCCGAATCAACAGGTACTTCTAGGCCTCGGTCAGTGTTGGAATTGCTCCATCTCTTTCCCCCATGGGGCAGGACGTTTACTGAGGAAGAGAGGTCTGAGCTTAAGAGTGCTTGAGTAACAGCTCTGTTATAACTTTTGGCACTTTTATCTCTTGGAAGTTTATTCTTTCCTTGTCTATCTATACATTCCAATTCCTTAATCTCTTTTGCTTTGTAGAAAGTATTTTTAGAATTGTATACCACACTCTGATCTTTTCCCCACACCTCAGTATCACAAACTTCTTGGGGGGAGGGTGGGAGGGAAGGAGGGAGAGACACTCCTATCTCCTTCCTGCCTTCTGATTCTATTTGCCACCAAAGCAAAAAGAATAAGCCTAAGTGAGGCCCGGAGGTCATCCACCCCTGCTTTTGTGCCAGGACAAGCAAACAACCTAAGCCAATTACTAACCGTTTTTTTTTTTTTAAACCTCCAATCAGAGAGAATCCTCAACTACTTTTTGTGAACTGTTGCTCCATGCAACTGCACACTCCACACGCCTTTCCCTATCTGTGTGTACTCTTATCTCACTATTCTATTTTTCCCCTCATTTGCATTAACCCTTTCTCACCTTTTTTGAACCTCCAGGACTTCTCAGAAGTGGTGGGAGACAACGTTCCCCAGCAAAAAGCCAAGATAGTAAGGTGAGTTGTAATCCCGGGAACCCTAATCCCTAGCTCAGTGGGATGGACAGTGGGGTGGGGAGGATATGACAGCACTCCTCATTTTATAAGGTATTTTATTCTGCGGCTAAGCAAACACTCAATTCTTTTTAACTTCTGAAGCTGACACTTCTGAGTCTGTTTCCAAACCAGACACTAGAGGGCTCCCACGGGTTAAAAATAAGTGGGGAATTATTTGAATGAAAACTGCTTCTTTAAGGCACTTTCAGAATTTAAAATGAAAGCTTATTTTCTAAACATTTTAAAAAAATGTACCTGTATTAAATTGGGTTACAGAAGCCAGTTTACAGGCAACTATTTTTTTTTTCTTTTGCCTTGAAATCAGTAGTTTTCAAGGGAGCTTTTAAAGCCGAGCTGAAGTATTTGAAATGTGGAACACTCTTGACCATGAAATATGTTCTACTTACATGCCTCAGCCTTTCAAAGTTCTTTGCATTAGAGTCAGGGATTACATTGTTCCTGGAGCTGAGCATGGGGCCAGCTGTGTAAGTAAGGTTGCTTTGCAGTTTCTTCTTCTTTTTAATAATGTGAATAAATAGAGCTAGGGAGCCTTTAATTTCTCTTCAGCTGACTTTGGTGGAAAGAAAAGGGATAAAAAGCAGTCAGATTTGTGTTCTGCGTTTCTCCTTGTGTGTGTGACTAAAAATGTAACTGCTTTCAAGATATATGGGCATTTATGACTTTATGCTTGTTAACTATTTTTTATATTAATTATTAATGTAAGATAATGGAACATATTATAAGGAAAAGCTGAACTATTAGATTAAGAGAATATATTTTTTGAATTTGAATGTTAGTTAACTAGTGCATGATTTTAAAAAAACAAATATGGAATTTAGATAAAGATTTTTAAAAAACACATCTATTATTTATTTTAAAATTATTTCTGAATTTCAAAAAGGAAAAGCCTGAATTTGTCAAATTTTAATGCTTTTCCTTCAGAATCAAATGATAAGACTAGCTACACATTATAAAATATCCTTGGATTTTTGTGGCTTGTTCTCACTTGTTTGAACTGAATATCAAACCTATACTTGTTTCTGTTTGTTTTTTTAAAACTTCCTTAAAAGTGTTAGTAGTGGCATTAATGAAAGGAAAGAGTTACTTTTTTTTTCTTTGCTCTTGTAGAGGAACTGAGCTAGTATGAGGTTGTGACTCAGTTATCTCTTGTTTCCATTCATTCCCAGAAACAAGCCACACTTCTCCTCGGGGAGACTGATAGGAGTTTAAAAAAAGGTTTGTTGTGTCACCAACATTCCCAACTCCATCACCAACCTTTTTCTTCCACCTCTACCCACTGGAGACCCCTTAGACACCTCAGCGGAGGCGACACCACTGGAATTCAGGAAGCCATGCGTCATGCCATCGGGAGACAACTGCAGACCTTAAACTCTGCTCACCATGCGGATGCGGCAGAGAAATGACCTGTCCAGACAAGCCGGGGCGGCTCCTGAACTGGTTCCTCTGCTCCCTGTGCGTCCCGAGAGTGTGCAAGCTCTGGAGCAGCCGGGGCCCGCGCACCCGGAGGAACCTCCTGCTGGGCACGGCCTGCGCCATCTACCTGGGCTTCCTGGTGAGCCAGGTGGGGCGCGCCTCGCTCCGGCACCGCCCGGCCGCCGGAAAGGGGCCGCACCAGCGCCCAGACACCGCCGAGGCGCCCTTCCCTGAGATCCCCTTGGATGGTACCCTGGCCCCTCCCGAGGCCCAGGACAACGGGACCACCCTGCTGCCCAATGTGGTGTACATTACCCTGCGCTCCAAGCGAAGCAAGCCTGCCAACATCCGCGGCACGGTGAAACCCAAGCGCAGGAAGAAGTATGCAGGGGCATCCCCGGCCCCAGCCCTGGAGGCTTTGGGGGGACCATCCCTGCAGCCGCAGCAGGGGGCAGCAGGGGCAGCTGATGCTGAAGTGCCTGGGTATGTCCAGAGAGGAAATCTGGCCAACGTTGGGGAAAGTTCCTGGAGATTGGTACGGGGTCCAGGAGCACGCGTTGGGGGTTCAGATTTCCAGCTGGCCCAGGCCCCGGAGAGCAACATCAGGATCTACAGCGAGAGCGCCCCCTCGTGGCTGAGCAAAGAAGACATCCGCAGAATGCGCCTGCTGGCAGATGGTGCAGTGGCGGGCTTCCAGCCCGTGTCCTCCAAGAGCCAAGCGCGTTTGCTGGTGCTGGAGGGGAGCTCCGCTGGCTCCGTGCCTGGCTGCGGCGCTAGCCCCTGCGGGCTGGTCAAGCAGCCTTTGGACATGAGCGAGGTGTTTGCCTTCCACCTGGACAGGATCCTGGGACTCAACAGGACCCTGCCTTCCGTGAGCAGGAGAGCGGAGTTCACCCAAGGTAACAAGCTTCCCATGCTTCGTTCTTTGCAGCTGTTGGGGTTTGGGGTTGGTTTTCTCTTTTTCCTCACTCTCTTTTTCTAAGTGATTTTCTCCACCCACGTTTCACATTTGGACAGCAGCAGCAGCAGCAGCAGCAGCAGCAGCAAGCAGCGTGTCTTTCCATATGCTTGGCATTCATTCTTTCCCCAGCTTTGGGATATGAGCGTTCCAGTGAAATGCTGTGCTCAACATGCAAGCGTAAGCCTACACTGTGTAAACTTTGCTCCCCATTTCCCCGACGGCACTTCCCAGTGGATTATTCAGTCTAATGAAAGCCAATGGCCATTTGCTGGATGAGGGGAGGAAGCCAGGGTGGAGGCAAAGGTCTCAAGGACAGTCAGGCATCTTATGAGATAGGTTACGATGGAAGTATGTCAAATTGTGTTCCTTTGTTTTTTTTAAAAGTAAGGGGGTGGGGGTTATCTTTCTTTAGCAGATGGAATCTTTTTAAAGAGCCCAGAGCCAGATCCTGTTAGAGTCAATCACAATGGATTTAACCACTTTATTTAACAAAGACCATGAGACAAAGAGGAGATGTGCACAATAAATATGCTAACTAGCCATATTGGGTTTTTGTTTTTTTGTGTTTTTTTTTTCAAGTGCATGACCATGGTTGACTGAATCTGATTTCCAAGAATCTCTCAGGTGACAAACTATTGGCAGGTTCTGAGTATGTAGCCAGTTACTTCCATTGCAAATAAAAGGACTGGCCTGTGGCCATGGTCTTGCCCCATAAAAGATATTCTCTGAGCCTTGAGGCTTTTCCTGAATGCAAAGTAGAGCGGGTCAGGGCCTTGTGTTTAAAAGCAGAAGAACCACAGAAGTTGCTACTTTGAGTCTAGGCTTCACCAAGAGGCTAAAAAGGACTCCAAAGAGATGACTATAAACTAAGAGATTATTACCTTAGTCCTTGTCACCATGAAATTTAGCATTTTAGTGCGATTCGCATGGAGTCTGGACAGGGATGGATTAGAACTCTAGATCCCCAACATATCCTGGAAATGTTGCATGGCTGGCAAATGCAAATGCGAGCAGTCCAGCTCCAGAGCCCAAGCTCCTACCCCCTCCTTTATTCTCCTAACTTCCATCCAGGAACATCCCAAGGAAGTTCAGAGGACCTATTAGAGCACTGTGCCTCAGGATGTATTCCAGAATTCACCTTCTCAGCATCCTATATATAACATATAAAAGCCTAGGCAGCCATCCATCCGACCAGTAGCTATGTTGCACAATGACCACCAAGAGGCAGACACTCCAACTGGTAGCATAATGCACACTGACCACCAAGCCCAATTCTGGGCTGCCTCACTGGAGAATCGCCCTCTTGCAATCCAGGGCCCTTCGGGGGATGTAATTTCAGTTCAGAACTGCCAAACCTTTAAGTGAAGTGCCAGTGATTTACTTACAGGTTTGGCATTCCTTACATATCCTGGCTCATGTCTGAGCGCTTCAAATGCATAGGTATGTTTTAATGTCTCACGTTCACAAAGCAGTCCACCATGATAACCTCTCGCACCTTTAATCCGATGTCGGTAAAAGCTAATTTTTATTGGGTGCTCAATGTTTGCTAAGAACGAATGACTCACATAGTTTATACATACATGCATTGACTCCTAAGGTTCCCATAACAATGCTTTGAGGTGGGCACCATTATTATTTCCAGTTAGTAGATGAGAACATTGAAGCTTATTTGGGCAAAGTAATTGACACCCACAGCTAATGTTAATGGCTAAGTTAGGTTTCAAGAGTAGACCCAGCAAACTTTAGAACGTAAGCTCTTAACTATTAAGCTGGGTTTAGGTGACTGTATTTCATATTATTAAAAATGGAACACGAAGAAGAATAAGAGAAGATTTGGGTGGGCACTGCAACAGCAGGCATACACTGTGGATGTCTGGGGCAAAGTAGGACATAGGGTCATCTTTGTTACATTATACTGCCCTTCATTTGTATGTCAGCACTAGAGGCCCAGTGTATGAATTCGTGATTCATGCACCGGTGGGGTCCCTGGTGTGGCCTGGGGGGGTTGGGCCAAAACTGGCTCTCTGACATCCCCCGAAGGATTGCAAGAGGGCGGTTCTCTGGTGAGGCAGCCCGGAATTGGGCTCCCTCCTCTCTGGATCTAGGTGTGTCACCCAAGAACTGCAGCTGCCAAGACACCGCAGTTTGGCGGCTCCTGTGTTGAGTATCTGCCCCTTGGTGGTCAGTGTGCATTGTGCTACTGGTTGGAGTGTCTGCCTCTTGGTGGTCATTGTGCAACATAGCTACTGGTCGGATGGATGGCTGCATAGGCTTTTATATATATAGGATGCTGAGAAGGTGAATTCTGGAATACATCCTGAGGCACAGTGCTCTAATAGGTCCTCTGAGCTTCCTTGGGATGTTCCTGGATGGAAGTTAGGAGAATAAAGGAGTGGGTAGGAGCTTGGGCCCTGGAGCTGGACTGCTTGCATTTGCATTTGCCAGCCATGCAACATTTCCAGGATACGTTATAGAATCTCTGAGTGCCTCAGTTTCCTCATCTGTAAATGATAATAATACCTACCTCATGAAATTATTATTAGTTAACCAGAAGCCCAGCATGAGAAATTACGTGAGACCCAGACCCGCCGCACCAATGGGACCCTAGGCCTACTGTGCTCAAGTAGCTTACGGCCATGAGCCACTGCCATGAGTCCTGTTGCTTCATGAGCCATGAGCCCCGCCCCATCACGTGAGCCATGAGCCCTGCCCCACTGCTGCGAGCAGCTCACAGGCTGGGGGCAGGACCAAGAAGTGCTCCATGCACCTCCTGGTGACCGGTCATTTGGTCATTATGGTGTTACGGCCACTGACCTTTTATAACATGGATACATAGAAAATGCGTGGAACCAGTGCTTGTCACACGGCAAATCTTCAATAAATATTGGCAATTTCTCTTACTGCAACAAGCACATGAGGTACCAAGTTCATTGAGTTACATAGCCTTTAAACTTCACGTGTAATTTCTTTATATGACCGATTAGGACCAAAACCCAGGTCTCCTAACAGATTGGTTTTACTTTTTGATACCAAGATTCCACTTACATACTAGGTTAAGGTGACCAGATGTCCCGCTTTCTGTGGGACAGTCCCGATTTTTAACAATTTGTCCCACGTCCCGTGGCGTTTTAAAAAAGTCCCAGTTTTAAAAAACGCCGCGGGATGCAGGACAAATTGTTAAAAATTGGGACTGTCCCATCAAAAGCGGGACGTCTGGTCACCTTATATTAGGTGTATCAGTTAATGCAGATCTTGTAATCAAAGAAAACACTGTAATTTCAAGAGAAAAATCAAAAGTATTTATTTAAAGTAATGTCCAGCACTAGCTACCCATTTCCCCATCTGTCAGGTAATTTGTGGATATCATCCCAATAGAACTTTTTTATTGTTTTGAGACAAACCATTCAGAGACCCAATATTCTACTTCTTCGTATGTTTTGAAGTGCTGCTCAGAAAGTGCATGTGCCATTGATTGGAACAGGTGGCAATTTGAAGAAGCAAGTTCTGGTGCTAAGTCACATCTAAGCCCAGGTTGCCATTTTCTCCTAAGGATAGCCCCACCCTCCAGTCTCCAGGCAACCAATGTAGCCACACATAGATCACTCCTGGAGTAATACAAGGAATCTGAATACTCCCTGAGGATATAGGATGGGCCTAAAGAGTAATCTTTAGCCCCAGCAATCTGAAACTGAGAAACAGTACAATACAGATGAATGGAATCACTTGCCTTCAGCTTTCAATACTCAGGACAAGTGCTACCAATTTTAGTCCTAAATCCAGGCTGGGGTTTCTCCTGGAAGATTTTAGTAAGAGCTCATTGTAGAGGTAATGAAAAAAATGTATTTGGCAGCACCTGTGATAGGGCTTTTTCTTTCTTTTTTATAATATACTTTTTTTTTTTTTTTTCAGAGAGGAAGGGAAAGGGAGAGAGAGATACATCAATGATGAGAGAGAATCATTGTTTGAATATCTCCTGCACAGCCCCTATGGGGATTGAGCCCACAACCTGGCATGTGCCCTCACCAGAATTGAACCCAGGACCCATCAGTCTGAAGGCTGACACTCTATCCACTGAACCAAACCGGCTAGGGATAGCTTTTTTTATAAGGTCCATCAGTATGGTTTGCTGGCCTCACACTCTCAAGTAATCTGATAATGAGTTTTCTGTAGGATTTAGTTTAGGTATATCTTTCTCTGATGATCTGGCTTGGCTGGGAGTAAATCTTTTAATATTTGGGAGAGTGGATAGCCAACAAATCCTGTAAGTTATTTTCTCTAAATGTTATTTCTGTTTTCTGACTTGTGGAAATAAATCCATGCCTAGTACCAAGAGCATAGCTATTCTGTGTTGAATATAGATATTTGGTTTATCTTAGTTAACCATTCTAATAAATCTGTTGGTAGACTTTTTTCGTTACCTCAATTTTGAGATGAAGGAAAAGTAGCAAGAAGAGAGCTGAGAGTTGTTTAATGAGGCGGTTGTCTAAGAAAAATTCAAACCCTTGTCTTGTAACTTCTAAGTCTTTCTTCTTTTCATCGATCTTTTTTCCGCAGCAAATCCTTCAAGGAGCCTTAAGGTATGTCTTTTTTCACCATCACCACAATCTATTAGTATATTTAGTTATTTAACATAACTGGAAATAAATGATTAACTCTCACCACACGGATACAGGCTACAGGAACCTCTTTTTTCTCTCTCAAGTAGACAACATCCTTGACCATAGCAAGAGTAATATTGATGTTACTATGCACCAGGCACTGTTTTAAGTGCTGTTCATTCATTATCTCATAAAACTTTCAGGAGGTGGGTACACTTTGAGAGACATCTTGTGGATGTGGAAATAGAGGCTCAGAGTAATTGAGTATCTTGCTCAAAGTCAAATAGATTGCCTATATGTACAAAGGATACAATACATGCAAAGGGAGATGTAAGAGGAT